CTGGCTGCAACATCAACAAGTCGTGCCATCCAGCAGCGCGGAAATTGGAGAGGCCTCAGAATCCCCGAGAGGGCCTGCTGAAAAGTCTGGCACGATGCCAAGCCCGGCGTTGGCCGAAAGTGGGCTGCCGTTCTCTAGTTTGGCATCCGTAGGCCAAGACACGCCATGTAACGCCGAAACTTACACACGCCAACCCCTTTCCGGACAAGAGACTCCCGATCCGTGGCCAAATGTTGGTGTTGAAGAAAGTAGTCCCAGCTCAGCCGACCGAAGCGAGCCGCTGATCACAGAAACGGCACTTCATCGCAGCAATTGTTCATCTTCACCCGACGAAATGCACCTGGATGCTGAGACGACAGCATCAGATGCTCCTCCTGTACACTTATCTCGAGTCCGTCGCCGAGCTCGCAAATCACGACTACCAACGGGCGCTTATGCTGAAGTCGATTCGGACCCGGAATCTAGCGATGAGGATGGCGCTCATGGAACCAACGAGGACTGCTTCGGAGATCAAGCCAACCCTGACAGAATCCGGCGACGGTCCCAGGGCTGTGAGGACAATTCTGACCAACGCGGTCAGCCAAAACCCAAACGTCGTAAAATAAACTCCCAGGAGACTGTTGGCACCAGCAGGGCTCTGAGATCACGGGACACATCATCGCATTTAGCATTGAAACCAAGACGAAGGTCAGAGCGGGCTACTAAACGATCAGGCATCAGTAGAGTTCTGACCTCGCCAGTCTCTCCTGCTTCTACCGATAACGAAATAGATCCCAGATCCTTCTTTGGGCAATACGATGAGTGGCCTCTCAAGAATCCAGTCCTGAAGCGCACCACAGATGGATTTGTAACGACATTTCAACTGCAATGGGAGCAGCCGTCCACAGAAGGACAACAAACGCATTGCTATCCCTCAGTTGGTCGGCCTTCAGGTTCTTCGATGCAGAGACGAAAGCCTGCGAGGCGATCTGCCAAGTCCAGACGACCGTTTTCAGAACAAGAGAATAGACTTTTGATTCAACTGAAAGGACAGGGTCTTTCATGGAGGGAGATCCACAACGATTTCTCGAGCTACTTCCCGGGCCGGTCTCTCGCGACGCTGCAAGTCCACTTCTCTCAGAAGCTGAATAGGACGAGAGAAAAGGGCTTGGTTAGGTGCGATACATGCATGTAAATAGTTCGATGGATTGAGAGAACGGTAATGGACTTGGACATGTAAGAAGAAATATATTGTAGGCCTTGAAATGGTGTGTCAGCTGGCGTTACACTTCTCGATTATCACCCTCAAAAGTTTGCGGTGTCAGGGAAACCAGGTGGTCCTTTGGTTCGCCTTGTGAAAACTGCAGCCTTATATCCTCAATGACCTATTTCTTTTCGACTGATGGTAGGATGATATGAAGCTGCTAACGTGTATTGTCAACAGCTGGACAATCCCCCCACTCACCAACTGTAAAATGCGTTTCCTTCTGACGCGAATATCTTCCTGGGCTTCGACCTGACTTCCTTTCTGGGCCTTCTTCTTGGCCTTTTAAGACAATAAAAAGCCCTAATTATCTTCTGTCTTTGCTCGCCGAGAAGAAGTGAAGGCGGCTACCCTGACAGAGGCAACAACCCCTGGCGTAGACGGGATCACCACGCGCCTTCTCCAGGCCTGCTGGGGCGTCATCTCGGAGCCGGTCAGGCTGCTATTCCAGTCCTGTATGCGGGTCGGCCACTTTCCTCTGCCTTTCCGCAGAGCTGAGGTGGTCATGATCCAGAAGGCCTGCAGAGATGCCTCCAAGCCCGGGTCCTGGCGGCCGATCACGCTCCTCTCGTGCTTGGGCAAAGGACTCGAGAGACTAATAGCCAGAAGGATAGCTTCTCTGGCGATTATCGAGCGCATCGTCAGTCCGCAACAGATCGGAGCTCTACAAGGCAGGTCAGCCGTCGATCTAATGACCTGCCTCGCCCACGATATCGAAACGGCCCTCCTAAAAGGGCTCGCGGCGACGCTTCTGATTATGGACGTAAAAGGGACGTTCGACTCCGTCCTTCGGAACCGGCTCGTCATTAGACTACGTCAGCAGGGATAGCCACACGGCCTAACCGGGCTAATCTTCAGCTTCTGCTACAACCGCACCGCCAGAGTCCGACTAGAAGAAAGCACAACGGAATACTTTCCTCTATCATACGGGCTACCTCAGGGGTCGCCACTATCTCCCATTATCTTTCTGCTCTACATCGCGGAGATACTTAAAAACGACTCGGACGCGCGATTCGGGTACGCGGACGACATCGCCACTCTAGCCATCAGCCCCTCCCTGGAGAGCAATATCGCAATACTAAACCGAAGCGCAGCCGGCATTCTCACATAGGGTTCGGAGAACAAGGTCTCCTTTAACCCGAGCAAGTGCGAGGTCATCCATTTTACTAGGAGGCACGGCCAGCCAGCGGAGCTGCCAGAGGTCAGGGCGGGAGATTTAATGGTCAAGGCCTCGACAAAACCTGTTCGCTAGCTAGGTGTCTGGTTCGACAAGAGACTGTCCTTCCGGCACCACGTCGACACACAAGTAGCTGCGGCAAAGAAGGCAGCTCAACACCTGAGGCACCTTACAAACACGAAAAGGGCACTATCAGCGGCCGCCGTGCGAAAAGCCGTCGTCTCCTGCGTACTGCCGATCGCGCTTTTCGGCGCCGAAACATAGTACGCAGGTATCACGAAGCCGGCTTCGAGACGCCAAGCGGAGACAGACATGAGTCCGCCTCTCCAAGGAAGACCCGTCAACACAGGCCAGAAAGGGCTTGCGCAGAAGATTGACAGCGTCATCACAACGGCAGCAAGGGCCGTCCTACCTGACTGGAGAACAACGCCAACCAGCAGCCTCCTCCGAGACGCCGGCTTACCGTCAGTCAAAGTCGCCTTGGAGGGCGTCCGCTTACGGGCCGCAGTCCGACTGCAGAGGATTGATCGCCGACACCCGCTAGTTGCGCGGCTCTCGCAGCAGGGACAGCAACAGACGAGACTGCTACGGACGGCTGAACTTCTGCCAAGATGCGGAAGACCAGCGTTCCTCCAATCACAATACCTGCCAAGCTCACAGGATCAGATAGTAGTTCAATGCAAAGAAGAGGCTGCGAAAGCTTTCGAGCGCTAGCTAAAGACAGTACCGGAAAGCCATACGATCGTCTTTTCGGACGGCTCCAGGGCGACGAACGGAGTCGTGGGGTGCGGCTTCGTCATCTACCGAGACTCCAAACGCATAGCGCAAGGGGTGCGGCCGACTCGGACTGGCAGAAGTGTTCGACGCCGAGGTCAAAGGAACGCGAGCCGGCCTCAGAAGGGCTCTGCTCACCAATCGCTGTCACCCAATTTACATATGTATCGACAACACCAGCGTTATACAAGGTATCCGTGGCAAGGCGCCGGACTCGTCCCAAGAGACGTTCCTCGAAATCCAAGAAGCAGCCAGGATTTTTGATGTACGGACGCACTGGTCTCCGGGACACCAGGGCATCGAAGGAAACGAGGCCGCGGACCGGCTGGCCAAAGAAGGAACGACACTGCCAGCGCGGATGGGTCAAATGGCAACACTAGCGGGCATCAAGCGGCTTGCAAGGGAAAAACTACAAAGCCAGCACAGGAGATGGTGGTATAAAGAGCGAAGGCCGCGGTACGCGGACTTGGGGAAGTTCCGCTAGCCCCAGGCCAACGACCTTTCAGATGGTCTGTCGTACGGCGAACGGTGCGATTTTCCGAGCGGCCGCTAAGCTTTCTTCCGAGACGCGGGCAAAGATGCGGAGATCCTCCTACGGTGGGCGATAGGGGGCACTGTTGCAAAACCCCCTTGCCATTTCGTTTTGGGTTTAGATCATACTCATCCTAGTCGTCCGGTACTTAGAGATGCAGTGAAAGATGTACTGCGGGATAGCAGCGGGATCGCACGGGGCGGGTTACCAGCAAACCCCATGCGATATACCTCAACAGAAATGATGGGCTAGGTAGGTGCCATTGCCACATGAATGCTAACTACCAATTGACCAGAGCACGCTCCTGACAGTATAGATCACGACCTAAAATCCCCTTGGTTTATCTCTCTCATAATGGTAGATCCTTTCTCACAACAACGGAAATAATTCTTCCATCATAGTATTCTTGAGAGACATGGTTCGAATCATCAGTGCACGGTGAGGCGTGGCTTGGTGAGCCACAGTGGTCCTCCGCAGTGATTGCGCTGCGGATCCGCAGCGATCTCGCTTAGCCTGCTCCTGCTTGATTAAGCCTAGCGAATATATCTGACACCGTGGCTGGCAATATCTTTGATTTTCAATCACTTTACCAGAAGAGCAAACTCTTTGATTTCTTCTCTCCGCGAAACTAACTTTTTCCCTTCCATGAAGATGAGCCCTCCGAAAATCCCTTCAGAGCATGTGTACTGTATCCAGACCGGAAAAAAACACCATGAACTCTTCACTACGATATATCTCGAGGCGAATTATTGTGGTCGATGTGGCCTTGCCAACCCGTTCCGGTCTGAGCATCGAGCCAGATCCAGAACTCCAGCACTTCCGGGTCCGCACGATGAAGTAGTGGAGGTTGATGACTCCCCTCCTCGGCCAGTCAGGCCAGTCAGCCCAGCAAGCCAGCTGTTCCGTGACAAACCGAACCCCGTCTCGCTCATCGGCTTTGGACGTCCGGCTCAGCTTCTGCCCAACGAATTATCCATTTCCGGCGCGGTGCACACGCGAGCACGTGTCCAGCCCGCTGAGGCGTTAGGTGATCCTCCGTTCATGACAGTTGCAACAGCAGCTAGTCGGGCTATTCAGAGTACAAAAGCCAGTACCAGAAAGCCAACAAGGCAGCGAACAGGATATCAGTGGGTACACATCAGCCTCTTGCTTGTGAGCTTGGAAGTCAGATACTTTAATGGGCTGGCGGTCGAGGTTCCAGAGACGGTGCTGCCGCTCAAGGATACGGTTATCAAGTTCTCTTCGACAGACCTACTGACCTGGCCTTCGTTCACCGCGACCTTATTCGACCATCTACGTCCGCTTCCGTCCACGGTTGATCCGACAAACAAGGAACTTTGGAGCATTTCTTACGCTTCGAGCTTTTCTGGCAAGAAGATCGTCACGGTCCCCAACATAGACAAATACCCAGGCCCGTCAGCAATGCTGGCCCCTGGGCATTTCGGCAACAACCAAGCAGGACAGTTAAAGGTGCTTCTCGTCCTTACATCTACTGATGTAATCGATAAGCAAGAATCGGTGACGCCACTCAGGCCGGAGGAATACCCAACGCCAGTCAAAGAAGAAAAGAAGCGGAGGGTCAAGCAAGAGAACACGAGCCCTGCGCCTCAGCGTCAGAAGCGGGTCAAGCACGAGGACAAAAGTAGCAGTGAGGGGATCAGCGGAGGGACCGATCCTAACAGACTAGTATCAGCGGGTGTTATATCCAGCCCCAAGGTCCCCATCTATAACGGCTGCCGCCAGGATTCAATGGGTGATGAGCGTGAGGAAATCATGGAGGAGATAGTCGTAAGCGAAGACGTGGAAGACTTCTGTGGACTGAAAGAGCCGCTTGGACAAGTACCGCTTGATAGAATGGTCGGCCATAGTGAGGCGAGAGGTCTGGTACACGATGGAGACAACGCCGACGAAAATGAAGATGGGAAAACTGCCGTCACCAAGTTCGTAAGAAACCAGGTCTTATCGATAAAGTAAAGAATGCTAACAGTCATAGGTAAACCGAGAGTACACAACACAGAGCTTGGGCGACCAAGCCGAATGTCTTGTTCTTGGTATGGACGAGGCCCTACCACCAGCGCGGTCCACGCGTTTCAAAGGCACAAAGGTCCCCGCGACATTTGCTGTTCGACATAGCAAAAAGGATTAGTCATTCCGGGTTGTCGTTCGACAGATCGCTGTTGTCGTCTTCGTCGACGCTTATCTCTTCCAGATCATTTCCTTCTTCGTCCGCACAACCTACTTCAATGAGGGCCTGCTCTGCAGGCTCTGTATCCCCCATTTCATCGTGGAAGACCTGGGTTGCTCGTCTGTGTAGTGCCTCCTATAAGCGTTTAGCCTGGTTCTCGACCACTCAGGTGGCGAAGCTCACGAATTCAGAAACGCCTCCTATTGGCGCTTTGCGATAAGCTAGGATAGGCTGTTGGCCGCTTTCGATATGTTGAATGATCTTGTCTCGAAGTCCAAGGTAGAAGCGTTTAAGTGGCCGCAATATGTCAACCTCTCGGTAGGCCCCAGAGACAGCGCTGTCATAACCCAACCCCGTAAGGGTTTGGCGGCACCAATCCTTGGTCTCGGGCTCCAAGCAGGTGCTGATATCGATATCGGCCAGCGGCCGCTGTAGTTGCTGTAGAACAGCGCGGTCGATCGGGATGCCCCAATTGCATGCCTTCGACGGATCCGGGTAGTGATAATTCATCCAAGGTTGTCCGTGGACTACGTGAGGCCGATTCCTTTGAAGACGAATGCGATGGAGGTTCCACGTTTCCACAAAGTCAAAGAGTTCACGACGTAGGACGTCCTCGAAAACGGCGTAGATGGCAATTTGATCCTCCAACATGGCGCTGTCAAAGTCACCATCTCTGGCGAGTTCCCCAAAGTAATCCACCCACTGTCGTGAAGAGACATGTAGCATGCTTTCCCACCACTTCTCAATCTTGACGTTCTTTGTGCTTGGCGCAGCCTTATACGAGTCTTTCAGACGCTTACCCTGCTGGAAGACCCTCCCGTTCCACTCTATCCTTCCATCTGCAGCTAAGGCAAGTTCTAGTGGGCTGCCGCTATGAGTGGCGTTTTACTGCCTCTATCTGCCTATAAGAACCAAGGCCGGAAACCGTAGGCATCGCATACCGTCAAGTATTGCTTCAGGACGCTTAAAGCAGTCGCAGCAGAGTGGCCAACATAAAACCAGATAATGTTCCTCGAATAGGCGTCGATGGCGGCGTAAATCTCAACCCATACTGCTTGAGCTTATCATGGCTATCGATGCACCACTGGTAATTTGGACCTGGCACCAAAAACTGCCCTTTCTTCCTTCGGAACATTCTTTTCCGGATCTCAACCTCATTTGGGAACATAACTTTGTACAGGGCAAAGAGGGGATCTCTCGGCACCCAGAGTTGTCTTTGTTGACGGAGAAAAGGTTGAAGAAGGCTCTTTCCGTATCCTGAGACGGCATTCGATCGTTGTGACATCTCGACGATGACCTGCTCCGTCTGCTCAAGCAAGGCGAGACGCTCTTCATCGCTGTTGAGTCTGCGCACCCAACGGCGATCAGGGTGAAGCCTGATGCGCTTCAGGCCCCGTTTTGTGATGGGCCAGCCCTGTCTCTGTAAAACACTCAATGTTTGCTTTTCGCTAAGCCCAACACGAAAAATCAGGTCGCGAATGGCCTCCACTAGCTCGGGGCTTTCTCGAGTACGAGCCTGCTGGCGTGGGAGATCCCAACTTGAGATTCGGCGAGATATCGTGCTGAGATCCACGGCGACATGATGGTGTTTTCGAAGTTTATATTGGATCTTTCTTCGCGAAATACCGTTCAAGTAAAGCTGGCTCACATAGTCGCGATGTGAGTCAATTGGATTGAGAGGACGTGTCATTTTGGGCCTGATGAAGTTGAAGAAGACGATGAGGGTTTTCCTCGGGCCTGGATGAAAGGGTGAAACGACGCAGGCGGTGTGCCGCGCGGGTCCGCAGCGCCAATGCTACTGGCCCGCAGCGGTGGCTCGTTCTCGCGGTCCAGCAACTCGTTGCTTATTGGTGGAATTCCGACAAATTCAGGGGCTAGACTAATATTTATAGAACCTGGATCCTTTCTAACTTTATATCTACCTTCCCTTTCAATCCGCCGAAATCTGGTGAGAGCTCACCATTATTAAGGTTCATATGCCTGAGACCGATCGCGCAGTTGTTACTGAGGCGCTTGGCGCAGCGGGCGGAAGCTCTCGGAGTCGAAACGTCGCAACCAAGAGGGGGACTGGCCGGTTGACTCAACCCGCCACGCGCAAGCCTACAGCTACGATCACCGTATGTTCAGCGGATCAACCTGCGACTTCAGAAGTATTGACATGCCCATCACATAGAAGAAAAGACAATCAAAGAAAACTCCGCCTCGTGGCTCAGTACGCCACTTCCCGTGCCGGCAATGCGTCACGCGCGCCACCAAGGCCCCCGGCCATGAGTGTGCCTCTCAAGATAGTACGTTGACTGTATCTATCCATGCGCAACTCTTGTCACAGTTATGTTGACGGCGTAGATACGGGTGCTGCATGCTGGGACTGCGCAAAAACCGGCCACACATGCCGGCCGGTAAGAGGTACTCGCGCCCCATAAGCTAATGAGCTGCTGAATCGTCACGTCACCAGGTTCCAGCCGAAGCTCATGCTGCTGTGCGTGCTTTTTGGGCATTGAACCAGCAACTCAGCAACGGCGATGGGGATCCTGACGAAGTCTGGCGCTCTGCTGGACAGAGAGCGTTACAGCAACTGCGAGCCTGCGGAAACATTGGGGTTTCTCCTCCTATGCCACTACCAGTGGCTTCTCTGGCTTCTTTCGGCGAAACAACTGAGAAGAGTCTTGAGGAGAGAAAAACAATGGCTTTGGAAACTATCGCCTTGGCTGCGCGGCTCTGGGTTGTAAGTTTAAACAGGTCGGAAATGCAAATGCGAACACTGACCCGGTAGCAGCAACTAAACCAGGCAGCGGAAGATGACGAGGGAGAGGGGGAACAAGAAGATGAGGATAATTGAATGACGTCGGTCTCCGATGCACCATCTGCCTTTCGATGCTATGTTCTCTGGTTTTGTATTGAACTGAATTGCATTCTGCTGGTTCGCAGCGGACTCGCTTCTGTCAAGAAGGTGCTGTCCTCGTCGTGAAAATGAAAAAAAAACAAAAAAACAAAGCTGAGGTACAACGGTCGATGTACTGCGGGGCCGGACGATCTGCACTCTAACCTGATGTGGAATTTATGTAAGGAATTTGGGGTTTTGCAACAGTGACCTCTATAGCCTGCCATAGAAAAGCACGGCTGGGAGCGGCAGAAAATCAATGTCAGGGGGGGCGAATCCGGAATTGGGAAGGCGGATAGATCTCGACGGCCGGCAGAAAAGCGCGGCAGAATCCTAAGAAAGAACGGCAGAAAGAAGAGTTCGAGATGGCAGAATAAAACCGGGGCGGCAGAATGCATCGAAGCTCGCTGATAGGTGCAGTAACCCATGCAGATAGCAGAATCAAACTTGGTCCGGCAGAAACGCTGAACTGGGAATCAGATCCGCGAGGACGGCAGAAAAGTAGGTGGGGCCAAACTGCTTTGGGAGTGGCAGAACCAATTTGCAGCTGGGGAAACCGAGCGCCCGTCAAAGTTGAGAGAGCCCTGTTCCCGTCCCTGGTAATGCAAGTTCCGACAATGCGAAATGGTTGCGATGACGGCTTTGGCGGACTTTCGAGAGATCTCTTACATGCGCGTTGCATATCATGTAGGCTTCGGGGTTCGAAAGCCGTGAGGGTAGACGGGACTGGATAGCCCAGGGATTGCTACGTAGCGATGCCCTCTTCTGTCTCTGCTTCACACTCCAGTGAGACGGTGCAGGGTACTAAGACGGCATCAATCTTTGCAGAATCCGGTTCCCACTGATTGCTAGTGGTTTATCGAAGAGTTGATCCTGTACAGTGCTTCTATCGAGCAGCAGTTAGACAGGCAGGGGTCATTGTGTGTGTATTCATGAGTATGACGAATGAATGGCTATGGAAAGAAAACCCCATATCTATATAATGAGTGTACGACCCCCTTGTATAAGGATACCCTTGCTGGCCTTACTCATACCTCTAGTTAAGCATAAGTCAGGTCGCTCGAGGTGAAACAATTACCGTAGCGAATGTGCTGGGGCGGTCTGACAGCTTCTTATGAGGGCTCCCAATAGGCTCACGGGTACCCGTGCATGTAAAATTCCACGGGTACCCGTGAATATGACTAAGCACGTTCGCTGCACGGGTCTTGAGCCAATCGGGGCCGCGGCTTGGGTTCCAATTACCCTATAATTTACGATTTAACCACAATACACTCTTCGGGCAGATTCTCAGCATACAACGCCTCCTGTTCGGCGTTGTCTCTCTCAACTCGTTTCCAGATGTCGCCCATACCTCTCCTGCTATTTCGAAAAGGGTTTTCTCCCTCCTCAGCGATGACAAGCTCATCAACCCGTTCCTCTTCAGCTCTGTCCCAGTCTAGATAAGCCATCATCTCTTCCTTAAGCCAATCTCTTGACCCCTTGGAGGTGGTGCAGCGTTTGTTCATCTGCTTGTAGTCAAGACACCACTCATAACATTTCTTCCCATAACGCAGCGGAAGTCCCATTGCCCTCCGATACTCCTGGTTTGTTTTGACACTTCCACGAGGCTGGGCGGCATACCAGGCGGTTCTCGCTGCACAGTACCGTCCGTATATTGCCTGAGGTGAATCGTATTTTAGAACCGAGGGCGAACGCGAACGCCGAGACGGTGGTTGCATCTCAGGTGGTGACATCCTGGCATCCACTGCTTCATCTGTAGTCGATTGAGTCAAGGCTATTATGGACTGTACGGCGTTCGACGGAAGGCTTTCCGTGACTTTCCGTGTAGTGGCACAGACTGCACTCGGTGTTGGGGCTAGGCCTGGAGTAGGAATTGGCTCAGGCAACAAATGTGAATATCGCTGAGGGCACGCCTTTGAGGTCATAATATGGCCAACCGCATGACACCTACTACATGTGCTTGGGGCCCGTGACGCGAGTTCAACGATTTCAAAGCTGCTTGGGTCTCGCCTAGTGCTTGAAACCGGAATTCGGGGGTTCTCCGATTGCAACCTGGGCTCGATGCGCTGGCGAGGCTCTAGTAACAGCTGCGGCGCCCCTTCACGCCTCAGGTGCCAATGCGCATGAAAGTGCTCACGTAGCAGAACAAGATTTTGTTCCTGTAAAGCCTTTAATTTGTGTAGACATGGCAAACCGTACACACGAGAGAAGGCCCCCGTACAGACTGAGGAATGGTCTGTGCCATTCTTACTGAGCAGCTTCCGCTGCTCTTCTACTTTCCGGAGGGCTTCATGCGATACCCAGCCAAGTACTGCGCCATATATTGTTCCCGAAAGCTCGACCGGTATTCGTGTCTGTTGCTTGGCTTGATTAGATCTCAGATCCGAGAGCTGATTGAGTAACGCGTGCTTCATCGCTCGCCAAGCCTCGAACAGATCTAACGTGGATCTCTTTAGGTGCGATTTGAGCAGAGCATGGATGCCTTCAACCCGCGAGGTAGCCACGTTGCCAAAGTGCGTGTGCTGATCAACCCAGGCTTTCACTAGCTTCTCCTTGTACGGATGGAGCCAAAAGGACGTAATGTAGCCGACTTCTTCAAGATGGTCCGTAAGATAGCGTTCCTCGAAGTGAGAAACACGCTCCTGAAAGGTCATCTCAGACGGCGAGCTAACAATCAAATGCCAGGACTTGTAGAACTCTCCCCAGTTGTCAGTCGATGACTTCGGCGCTGCAGGGCTACTGGTTGTCTTCGTCTTGACAAGGTCGAACGCAGAGTAGCAATGCTGAAGCACCGCCTTGTTCGCATGCCAGAGGCAAAGCAAAGATGCCGAAGATGGAAAGACAGCGGCTACAGCATTGATGCATGCTAAGCAGCGATCTGTGAGGACAACCGCAGGTAGGCTAGCGTTGCACTGGTCATACAAGGACCTGACCCGCTCCAGAGCCCAGGTATAATCATCTTCCGTTTCGCCACTGAGAAATGCGAACGCGATACAGAAGGACCGCTGACAAGCATCGACGCCAACTATGTCAAGAAGCGGCATACCGTACTTGTTGGTCTTGTAAGTGCAGTCCAGCAACATTACGTCTGGGTAAGCTTGTAGGAGGGCTAGGGAATCTGGATGGGCGAACAAGACAGCTGTAACGCGGCCATCTGGTGCGAATTGCATTCGACTCCAGAAGCCTTCCTCGTCAAGCTGATTGGCAAGTGCGTGGATCGAGGTCTGCCCTCCACGAACATCTCGTTTGATGGCTGCAATATGATTGTAGATATCCTGTTGGGTTGCTACAGAGTTTGTGGTTTGTCGTATGTATGTCCGGATATCTCTGGGCGCGACGCCAGCATTTGATAGGCCGGCTACTTTCGCAAAATCCTCCTCTGTCAGCTTGCGGTGTGTTGGGTGAGCAGACGGATGCTGGCTTGGGGGGTGATTATGAGAAGAAAACCGTTTGTCGGGCCGGTGTCTCAAGCTCCAGGTGCTTTTATCCAAGGATTCCTTGGCAAGCACGGAAAATTGACAGCCCGTTCCTCTGCTCGTAGTTCGTCTTTGGCGCGCTATTGCTTTGCTTGGGGGATGACACGACCGATCGCACGAATACGTAATTGTCCGCCGCCCACTCTTCTCTTTGGTCGATCTCCCAGTCGTGAAGGCGTATCCCCTTGTTGCCGCCCAGTTGTTAATTGCCAATATGAGGTCATCGCGCGATTCATATTCGCTTTCAGGAGGTAGACAGTCGTCTAGGAAATTGAGTGCTGGGTTGTCCGGGGCTAATTCCATCCTTCTCAGAAACGTGTGGCCGAGTTGCCATGCCATGTGCAGAGAAACGTGTAGACTGACGCGAGACGCGTTTGTCAATCTGTGCCGCCCGCTTGCTTAGTCATATTCACGGGTACCCGTGGAATTTTACATGCACGGGTACCCGTGAGCCTATTGGGAGCCCCTTACACTCGGGCGACAGTGGTCCAGGACAGTGGCTAGGCTGATGTGCAGACGCGGAACCGTGTCCAGGCAAGTGTATTTGCAAAGGGTCTTGCGGGACGTCGTTGCGCCTTTGCCCGAGAGCCTCTTCACTGCGAACCATAAGGACGTCTACAGCGCAGCACTTACCACGCAGGCCACTGTCAGGCTCTTTTTGCTTGTCGAATGCGAGGAATTCAATTTTCCAGCGTCCCTCATTCCTCATCTCGCACGATCACCGACTTGCCGGAATTTACTGTCACTACGCTATGGTACCCCTTGCTCTCGATTCTGGTTTTGATCTTCCATCGGTCAGTTGCTGTCTTAAGTCCGATCTCAAGTCACTTCGCTTCAAGAAGCTGGCTTGTCCCAAGAGTTTAAGTGCCGTCGACTCTCGCAATCATGTCGACCCTGTTCTGACGGATGGACGTCACGGGGCAACACGAGCACGTTCTAGAAAACAACTCCTCATTACTGTGGGAATGCTGTGGGTAAAAGCAGGAGGGCATAAGCCTTAACTCCTGGAATAGACAAAACCCAAGGTGCAGAGATGACAAAAAGCTGTTCGTCCAATTACCATAGAGGGCGAATCGCTTGGCATGAACTTCAGACCAACGATTCATGGTTTTCGACCGCATCTCGCACACCACCGTCGATCAGTTCGTCCGCTAGATGGCACGCGGGCAAGTCTATAAATAGCGGGCGACTGAATCTCGCTACGTGCCTTCATAGCCAGAACGGTGACCACTTCCAATTTTCTTAATGCTGCAATTGTTTCGTCGGAGCTACAGGTGTTCTAGTTTGAAATTCAGCTGCCAAGTAAGTACAGTGACAACACTTGAGTGGCTTACGAGTAAGAGCCACCAAAGCCTTCGGGCTGCAGAAGCGCCCACCGGCTTCGAGGTCCCCATAAACGGGATGCTTCGGTGTGGGCTACTGGTAAGGCCACCTGGGTGTGGAACCTTCCAATAGTAGCATGGCCGGGCCGGGCGCTTCGGGGGTCCACAGACGGGACATCGTGTTCCGCATCCGTGCCACCTACCAACCTGCCGCTGAGAATCTCCCAAAGCGCCCGTCTGCGAAGCGCTCACAGCCCAGTCATGCTTCTGGTAGTTGAATCGGCTCCCCGTCAGCCCGAGTAAAAGTGAACAGAGCCACCGCCGGCGGATAGCTCCTCAATCGGCGCTTGCTGTGCTGCTGTCAATGGGGCTTTGTCCTCGGTGCCCCTTCAAAGTGGTTTAGACCTTAGGATCACGAGTTAGCATCTTGTCGCGTTCAAGACACAGGACAGAGATCTAAGAGGCAGTTGTGTATATCTATCTATGCGTCAACACTAGATACTCTATGTGATCTAGACTAGGCCTAGCCTTGTGTCCCTTTAGCCATCCGTCTACGCTTTACCTTCTTTGATCGTCTTTGCTCGACCTGGCCTGATGTCCTGAGGGAAACACCATGGGAGGTCTGTACATGCCGTCTGAACGCATCTAGTGTCCCGAAATTCGGGTCATCCTGGCATTGAGGATGGTTGCACCGAATGAGATTGCCACGTTGGACGGCACGCTCTCGTTCTACCAGATGCTGGTCGTCAAAGTGGTCATTTCTGACCGTTGGCCGGCAGTACTTGAACGTCCGTTCTGCTAGTGAAAGCCTGCAATCCCCAACACAATCAGGGCACTGATTCGGATCAAGGAGTAGTGGGAAGGGCTTGGGTTGAGGAGTCTCTTCGATGGTTGGCTTGGGTTGAGGATGGGTGCGGATGCGGTCTCGTCTGACCGTCTCTCTCTTGTCACAAAGTGTGACCATCAGATCGATAGCCTCAATCCGAAGCTCCATGAGTTTGTCGTGAGAGCAGTCGGCTGGTTGGTGGCAGAGGATGTGGGCCAGTCTGGTGCGCTCGGGAATCTGGAGGTTGATTTCCGGTTCAGTATACTCCTCGTCTTCTTCGCCGTTCGCTTGCCTCTCGATATCCCATGTTGGGCGGTTGTAGAAATGATATTCGCGATACTCTTTCACGACAGTCTTGTCGCGTTGATCCCGCTTCATGCGTATCTCCTCGGTTAGCCTGCGGATTTCGGCTTCGTTCTCTTCACCTTGCACTCGGTATTGACCACCCTTCATTTTCTGTCGCCGTTGCTCCAGCTCCAGAATTTCCGGATCGGGAGGCAAGTTCTCCCAGACCTCCTTGGGGACCATGTCTCTTGTTGCCCGGGGATCGCGCGTGAGGCTGACATGCGCAAACACCTTATACATCTGCTCCTCGGTTTCCTCTTCTAGGAAAGTATTCTGGAGGTCGAATTGGACGTTCTCGTTGAGGTATGCGCCTTGAAACGTGGCAAACTTGGGATCGTGGCGCATCATCTGGTCGCGCACGGCATCAGACGCATTCCCTGGGGTCGAAGCTTTTAGTATTTGAAGTCCTCACAAATGCTGTTCACCTCAACCTACCATTTGCTGCATTTGCCGCCCCTCTTCGGGCGAAACGTGGAGTCCAGGCCTTCTCGAAACCTGCATCAAGGCTCTGTCGGCCCATGTCGTCTCGTAATTTGGAATAGCTCATGGCCTCGTCAACGGCCAACGCACTGCCGCTGAGCTTTCGAAAGATCGGAACCTTGAGCATTGACTGCTTCCACCGTAAAGCCGTAGACTGGACTGGACCCCTGACCTCTGCTTTTAGTACCTGGGTTGCATCTGTCAGGCTTGCTGCGTCGAAAGCCTGGTCGTGGAGCGCTAAGGCGATGATGGTGCTGACGGCACAGAAGATGAACCTTCTTGCAGGCGTAAAGAAAAAGACAGTCCTGTCCATAGTCAGCATGAAAAGCACCAAAAGCGATTGGGGCCGCGGCGCTACGCATACTCACGGTCTTGGCTTGTTGTCAGCTCCTTTGTGGTGGATGAACTTGACAGCCATTGCCGGAACGGCTCGTCCCGTCACTGGATGGCGAACAATCATCATGAGTACGTCCTCATAGCACAAGGCTTTCGGACGCCCACGCCCAGCTGTTTCCTGTATCAACAATCTGTCGAGGAGAAGGGAGTCTTTGTCTTGTGGTGGTTGGTCATCATAATCCACATTCTCTGTGTCTTTGCCACACTCAAGATCAAGGGACTTGACGCCTTGGAGCTTGAAAATCTCGTCCGTGCATCCGTCTTTGGGTTTTTTCCTTTCGGCATGCACGATCTCGGCAGGCCGCGCACCAGTGTAGCAGAGGAGCTGGTAGCAACCAGCCAGCTGAGTGCGCTGCCGTTCTGACGGGAAAATACCAGTATCATACGCAATGTTGAACGTCAAGATGGCCAGTAGGTTATCGGCTCCGAGGACTGGCTTCCCGTTGATGTTCGGTGCCCGGTATCCGAAGCGGGGGATCAGGACCGTGTGGTGGAACTAGCCCAGCCCATGTCAGCATCATTGTGGAACTGTCGGCTGTCGCAAGTAGTAGATACCTTGTACAGCTCTTTCGCATCATTCCTGTCCATGTAGCGACCGGCGACGGTGGTGTATAGCTGCTGAAACTGCCGGATATATACCTGCGTCGTACCCCAAGATTTGATTTTCCCTATCGACCACTCGCTGATCCGGAGAAAGAAGCTCATCATTGTCTCGCGAGTTACGTTTTCCAAGGCCGCTTGCCATTCACCGAGGTTCTGCTCTTGACAGTAACTGTTGTTGTAGAGGTCAGTCAACAAGGAAACAAGCATAAGATCCACGCGGCGAACCGTTTCCATTTCCTGCATACGACCGCGATATTGATCTCGGTTTCGTCTGCATATCTCGGCTTGATGAAGTTGACATTCTTGAGCTGCTTGCGTAGGTCGGCGTGCTCCTCAGCCGAGAACGGCTTCGGCTGGTTCGCGATCCGACGTTGTGTTTCTTGGTCGGTAAACCGCTTCAAAAAGTCAACGGTTGCTTTGGTTTGTTGAGGGCGACAATCGGCGAGCACCGGCTGGGACATGGCTGCGAGATGGTCGCTCGTCGCAGCGGCAGAAGAGGGGTCGTGAGCGTGTACTGTACTGAGGCGAGAGAAGACGACAAAAGACGGCAGGCGCGACGCCGCTCTTTATGGTGGACGGCGCCATGGCGTCAAGCAGAACCTGAACAGCCTGAGCAGCCAGAAATCGCTCCAACGGATGCCAGAAAGCGAGGGAGTTGGCAAGAACAAGCAAGTGGTGGCATAACCGACGAGCAGGGTAGAAGGGAAGGAGATGGAAGGCGCTTGGACAAAAATAGCAGGGTGGGGCGCACTGCCATGACCGGGTTGCGGGCGTTGGAGGCAGCGTGACGAAGTATTTAATACCTGGCAGTGTCGCCCCTCGCCCGATTCCCTCTCACTGCTTGTGCCGCATAGAACGGCGGCACTTCCCACCGGATTCGGCGGCCCTAGCAGCGACTTCTCGCTTTTAGGAGTAATAAACTAGTTTTATTATAAAAGAGAGAAAAATAAAAAACGAGGGTCTAATAAACTCTTTATATACTTTTTATAAATATATAACGACCTTTATTAAACTAAGAACGCCCTTAATAAATTATTAATAATAATTATAAAAAAAAATAAAAAGTTCGCGGTATTCTTATCCCGATTTAAAAAAACCTTAATTAATACCGGAGGCTAGAAATAGCCCGCGGACGTTATAATTTAATACTTTACCCGCGCTTTAACTTTATAATTAAAAAAATATATAATCGCTATATTTTAAAATAAGTCGTTATATATTAACTTTTTTTATAGTGTTTAGGTAGTAGCCGGTAATATAAAGGGCTACGACTTCGACTAGTATAACCCTTAAATTCTGGTATAAAAAAAATATTGCGTAATAAAAAAACGTATTAATAATAATAAAGATATAATTATAATTAGAGCTATAAAAGTTATAAAGCTTAAGCGAGAAGCGAAGCTATTAATAAAACTAAAGACTTAGTATTACTTTAGTTATAATAAAGTTAGATATATTATAAAGAACTATAAATAAAAATAAAAAGCCCGCGTAGTTTAAATAGCGCCCGTAGAGTATTATATAGAAAAAGTAAACTTAAATAACGATAAATATTATTTAAAAAAAAAATAGCTCCGGTATAAAATCGGGTACCGGAACTTATAAATAAAGAACGGATAAAATAAAAATTATTTAATTAATAACGGATTATAAATAGGCCTTTAGCGCTATTTACTACGAGGATTAATAAAATATATAAAACTTTAATATTAATAAACTATAAATATAATATATATTTTATAATAAATTCCTAATTAACTCGCCGTCTTCGCTTTTTATATATAAATAGAACGAAGTATAAACTTTATAGATTTATAAATAAGTCTACTTAAATTATAATTAAAAGGGTCGTCGCTTTCGATCTCGAAATTAGCGGCTATATAAAAAAAGTATATATATATATTATTAAAAGCCTAGATATAGACGTATTTTTTAAAAAACTTTAAATAGAACGGAACTGCGTTATATATAATATAGCTAAATAGCGGATTTAATATAAAAAGGGCGGAGTAAAAGCGTATTTTAATAAATAAAAAAAAAGCGCTATAATATAAAAAATCCGTAAAGTATAAAGCTTAAAAGCCCCCTTTTTTACTGTTTTATATTATAGAGTTATTATAAAAAAAAAGCGCTAGCTAAATAAATATACCGCGGGGATCTAAATAATTAACCTCGTTAATATCGATAAAGCTCTAAAATTAAAAAATAAAACCGACTACTTTTTTTAGTTATTATAATAAATAAAAAAAGAATATAGCGACCTTTTCGAGCTATTTAAAGTATACTCCCTTTTACTAGCTCGGCTAAAAATCGACTTTATAATTAATTTCGAGCGGTAGTTTAATAAATAAAAAACGCCCCTCCCCTAGGGCCCCCTCTATTTTATATTTTATAAAGAGCTACTAGTACTATATAATACTTTTAAAAACCTATTTAATAAAGGCTTTATTTAAATTAGTAGCTCTTTTACCGGAGCCCCCGTTTTTTTTATTAAAAAACTAAAAGGTAGCTTATATTTTTATTATAACTATAGAGCGTTAAACGTAATTATATAAAAGGATTATTACCCTTTATTATTAATTAATAAAACCTTTTAAAAAGTTAGTTTAGTAAAGTAGTTTATAAAGCTAAACGTCGTAGCGGCCTTTTATAAAATTAAAATAACCGAAGGGTATTAAAAAAAAACCGCTTTTTAAATATAGTATAGCTTTTTTAAATAAATAGTTTATTTATTTAGCCTAACCGGGGCGCCCGCTATATTTTAAAAGTATATAAACTAAACTTTAAAAGAATTCTTTAACGACTTTATTTTTATATATATAGATAATATATTAATATATTTAAACGGATTAAAAGCGGATTATAAAAAAAAAGTATAGCGGATATTATATACTTTTATAGCGGCGGGCTTTAATCTCAACCTAGTTAAAAACGAGTTTTCTATTTAAATTATAAAATATATTAAATTTATTTTTAAAATAAAATAAAAGATTACGTATAACTTAAAAAAAGTATATACTATTTATAAATAGCTCGTATTTAAAATAGTAAAAGGGGTTAAAAACTTTTTTAGCTTTACTAACTATTATTATATATTTATATATAACTACTTTATTATTATTAAACCCCTTAACGCTCTAATTAAAAAAGGGGCGCCGTTTAAATAAATAGCTAAATAAAACGCTACTTTTAAAACGTTTAAAAAGCGTTTTATATCTGCACCTTTATTTTAAAGCTTTAACCTTAACTTAGTAATAGTTATTAAAACCGATTACTTTAAATTTATATTTAGAGGCTCCTTTATATAAGAAGATTTATTAAACGTACGCTAACTAGTCGCTTTTTATTTATAAAAGCTTATGCCCGCTTAGTATAATTATTTAATTTATAATAAAAAGCTCTTCGCTATAATATTTTATTTAAGTATATAGGACGCGGAGCTACGGAGCTTTTATAAATTTAAAGTTATTATAGATTATAAAAGGTT